ATTATTGACGAATATTTTTGCGCAAGAATAATGACGCCATAATAGTCTTGACGGACAGAGTAATACCTATACAAATGCACATTTTACTGACTGCAGAAATGAAAAAGACATTTCCTACCTAAGCGTTAAACGGATACACGCATAATACATTCCTAGCAATATCCTAGAGCTCCTATCAAAGTGACTGACATTTTATAGATTTATAGTCCTCAGTCACAGTCGATCATAATATTTCATTACCAAACACGCTTCAAATGAGCAAGAGGCATATACGGACAGTGTTTACTCAATATATCTTATCCTCTTCGTGGATATGTGAACTTAAGCAGTCAGATATATTGTTGCCACAATAGGCCTACACACAAATTTAGCGTCCATTTTGATAGCCTGTTGGTTTAAGACTAGTGATGGCGGGCACGATTTTTCTGAACTGCTGTATATGGATATCTTCTACTTTCTTGTTTATCTAGTTTTCAAAAGAAATTGTATTCAAAATATTTACAAAATAATACAAAATTTATGATAAATATTAATTACACTACGCATAAAGAGATTAAAATATTATTAACAATAAAACAAAAATAGTAGACTGAAAAAACAACACTTCTCTCCGTAAGCCATTACACTATTACATGCAACTCTGTAAAACAGGTCCAAATGTGTTAATAATCAAAACTTTTTTAGTATGATAACACACAAACAAACACACAGAAACATGTATATCGTAATTTTGCTGGTTTCGTAAGTATGAGCTAGAAACTTTTATTTTTCCCGACGACAGGGCGACGTCAATTAACAAGTGACTGGAAGTAAAACACTGCAGACTTCTCCATCCGCATGCAATTTAAATTAGCGAGACACGACTACAGAATTAAGGTTTGCCTATAGATTCTTAAAAGTACTTGATATTGATATAACCGTGGTCCACACACAACAACATCTTCTTGAATATAAAGCAAGAATTTCTGGTAAGAATTTATGACGTTTGGTACATACATTCTGTATCACGAGAAAATCAATATCTATACAGTGTAATTATGCAGTTATTTGGTGACTTATTCTCTTCGTAATTTCCATTGGTGATATTTCTTACGCCATCAAAATTAATAAATATAACTTAAACCGTTCCCATATTTGTACCATAATTGTTAACATACGTGATTGAAGGTCAAAAGCAAGAAGGCGTCTTCGGAACTTTTGTTTACGCAACCTGGTTAGCAGCAAGTTAATCAGTAGATGGACTTACCACAGAAGGGGTCATAAATCAACCTGCTTATCGACTACCCTCAACAACCGGATTCGAGGAATAAAAAATAACAAAGAATAGGTTCATAAAACTCTTCTGTACCCCAAACTGTCCACTCCTACTTGCTTTAGTTTAAAAGTGTATTTGCTCCCTGTACATGCGTAATCTCCATATTTTCAGATACGGTTGAAATAAAATATATTCGCAAGGAGTAAGTGACGACTGGGTACCAAGCACACAAAACACAAAAATAAAACATACTCTAATTGTGATATAAGAAAAGACAAATGAATATAGTGTGGTTGCAGCCATAAGTTAAATTCTGCATTACCGTAACTGCGGTGAATGAAAGAAAGACTTGTTCAGCCGAACATCCAAGTCATGCTGTCAGTGCTCACTTAGTAACTTCATAACTGCTACATCATGTTAAGCTAGTTTTCTCCTTACGTCTAGGTCTACTCAAGCAGGCAAACCTCTAGACTTCAAATAAGTCTGACAGCTGTTCGAATCCCGATGTAACCATGAATTTATAGGACTTCAGTACAAGGGAATGTGTCCAAGAATAACAAGTTATAAGAAGAACGGATTATAACAGCAACGACGGTTAGAAATATAGCAGTGCTGCTAAAGGAGTCATCTAGGCGCTTAGTTTGAAACCACACAAACGATGCCAACGCCATCTACGGTCGAAAGTGCAAACTACTAACTCCATTGCCTCGTAGTCCATGAGTCGCTCGGTGAGACATTCTCCGCAATTGCGGAAAAAATGTGTTTTTTACAGTGCTTACTCGAAGACGCCACTGTCCCAGTTCTCAGCCAAACGAATCCAGGCCCCCTTTCTTCCATCCTATCTCTGTAAGATCCAGCCTTCCATTTTCTCCTTGGTTTTCCAAATGATCTCTTTCCTTCAAGTTTAAAAACCAAAAATCTGTACGCATTTCACATCTCCTCCATGTGTTATACAGTCCTAGTCCATCTCATGCCCCTTGATTTGATCATTCTAGAGGACTATCAATTGTGGTAGATACTGTAGGGTTCTGACGATGGTGTATAACCCACAGAGATACTGGATTTTTGGACTTTGTCCATTGTCTGGATTCTAAATAACTAAGAAAAAACACAACGTTTCGGAAACTGGATCTGTTTCCGTCCAATGATTGAGGCTAGCTCTTTCTATGGGACCCAACAGAGTAGATGTCTTTCCTCACCTGAGTACGGAAACAGATCCAGTTTCTGAAACGTTGTATTTTTTCTTAGTTATTTAGAATCCGGACGATGGACACAGTCCAAAAACCCAGTATCCCTGTGTACAAATTATGGAGCTCTTCATTATACAGTGTTCCCCATCCTACAGTTACTTCCTTTCTCTTAGGTCCTCAGTTTTTTCTCAAGTGCCCCAAATCTATATCATTCTCTTGTGGTGAGACCAAGTTCTGCATCCAAATAAAACAACCAGTCAATCTACAGTATTATATACTTTAACTCTCAGGTTTTGTGTAGGATAAACAAAACCAAGCTGAGACTTTACAGAAAAATTAATATGATGCCATGGACACTAACAAAAATTCTTCCAAGGGAGGGAATTAGGTTTCTCATGGGGAAGGGGCAGTAATTAGATTTTCATACAAACTTACATGTAAGCCATTTAAGACTGCTTTTACTGATTCCTCTTGTCTATTCGTGATGAAAGAATAATGAGTATATTTTTAACATATTCTTTTTATTTTGTTACTAATGTATGGTACATTCCCTTTTTTTAATTTTAAATTTTTTTAATACATGGTTGTAGCAGATTCATAGCTTACCTCTCTTTCCAGCGCCAATGGATGATACAATGCACTAGATTAATCAGAGGATGAGTTACAATTTACAGTACATAAAAAAAACATAATTGCAAATATACATAAACTTGTATAGACAATTCTGGCATTGATCTTAAAAGAGGAAGTTATAGCAAACCACAAACAGGATGTGGGAAAAAAATTAGTATAATGCAGCAAAATTAATTGCAATACATGGCGGGAAAATATTTATGCAAACGAATGCTACATCAGAAACAAAAATACATATGTGTATATAAGGAAAAGGCGTTTTGAAATGTAATCATGAGGCCAGAGGATTCAAGAAAGAAAGACCAATATATTGGAAGCAGTGCAGAAAGATTTGTAAGAACTCTACTGAGATTGCAAATGTACATCACCAAGAAAATACAGATAAAAATGTGAATGCTTGAAATATATTGGTGAGAGTGGAAATGGTTTTCCAGAACTCAAAAGATGCTCAAACATCAGTTGAAAAGCCCAGGGAACACACGTTATGAAGGTATTGCTACATGTATAATGTATCCTATCTCCTGTTGTTAGTTACAGGGGATTTATTTTCATGCATCATATTGTTGGGAACAGCTTTAAACATGGGAAACAAAAGTTTTGGAAATAGGTAGAAGCTCTGCTGGCTTCTACCCAGAATTACAGCCCTGATTATTGGTGAAACTGAAGACTGAAATGAACAGGTTACAATACATGCAGAATGCAGACAGTGAAAATAACAAAGAAGGCACAGTAGTAGTGAACAGACTGGAATACCAAAGAAAAGACGGAGAGACCAACTGAACTTATCATTATGATCATGCAATTAAGTATTATGGGGTTATTGTAACATACTGAAAATCTGCTTAGAATTATTTAATTTCTGAGTTTCTTCTTAAAGTTTCTGTAATGAAAGTTCATATGTGAGTTTGGTTAAAGTCACTTACCACTAAAAATACAAGTAAATTCTCTTATTGTCTTCCACACTCACTATAGGCTGATCTGTGCACTTGTGCACCTTGTGACACAGTTTAGTAGCTGTATCGTTTAGACAGCAGATTAATAATTACTTGATAGCAAATCTCATAACATTTATCAACCTGCTAGAGGAAATAATAGAATACAATCTATCACCTTAAAGCAAATTTTCTCCTTATATACTAGTATATGCTTATCCTAAATGCAGCCTTACTGCAGCCATTGCTGAGTTTTACATTTTCTTACAGAGGTCATCGATGTCTATTCATAGAGAGGCTCTGTTATCATCAGAGTGTATTACCAGACAGCATATTATTCAATGGAGCTGGAGGACGGGGAGCCACGCATATCTCCCCAGTATTTTTTTAAAAATTGCATCGAATATTCTAAAGAGAAACACAAAAACACAATCTTAACTCTGATTGTCAATGTAAAGTTTTCATCACGAGAATCCTGGCAGTCCTCATTGTGTTGTTAGTACACCTCCTGTAAGTTCCTGGTGTTGCTGCCACCAGTCGTTGGGCTTGGCCTTGATTCCATAACTGTTAGTGAGAGAGTGAATGGGTGAGAAAGGATCAAAAAGGGGTATTCTACTATCCAACTTACATGTTGACAGTCATGTGACAACTGACAACACAATGCGCTAATCCGTGAATTGGTGTATATACATTAAAGGCAGAAGATTCCTTGTGATTAATTATGTACCCGCGTCATGAGGACGTGTGGGGAAATCGAGGTATAGGTTCGCGTCTGTTTAACCTCGGCTGTGGCTGGAGCTGAGTGTTTAGCTTCAAGGCCTGGCGACTTTGCCCACATTACCCATTGAACAAGTAGGTGCGTGGCCTCCAGAGGTGGTCTACATTCAGTGGTGCAAGGAACAATTTCTTTTCGCCGTCGGTAATACAATTCATGTAGCTTGATGCCTCGTTGTTTTACCGACCTAGCATCATCTAGCATAATTTATCGGTACCGACTGAGCTCTCCCGATCGCTGCCGATTCCCAGCACGTGCTTATTGAGTTTGGTGGAAAAGCGTCAGAATCGAATTTGTTCGTTTTAACGAAATTCGTATCAAATTTGACAACGAAATTTGTTTAGTCAGCCAAACTGTGAGAGTTAGATCAGTTAGATGAATATGCGGATATCTGTTAACTCGCTTAAATATTGGGTCTAATAATGACTGCATGCTTTACATCCACAGTGACTTCGTGCACGTAACATAAACTGATAGGCGCCGACTTTAAACAAACAGAACAGTTAGTTCTTTGAATATGCAAAAAGGAATCCGTGCCATCTTTGATGGTTGTAAAGCTTGTAGGGGCGTAATGTACATATTGACAAAGTTGTTACAGTTGCGCGATGCCAGTTTATGTCAATTTAATGTGTGTTTTGCTCAACGTGATAAATAATAAATTCAATTTCATCACTGTTTGTGATCTAATGCAATTTTATAAAGTGTTGCTGTGAAATTTAATCGACTGTAGTGTTCTGTTAGGTTATAGTATAGGTTATGTCAGTTTTCTCATCCTTGCATTTGTTGTCACAATTTGTTCTGGTAGAGAGGAACCAGTTCCTCAAACAGGTTTTACAAATTGTAGATTCTAATGTAAATTTATACATAGGGATTTTGTCATTTTATCTTTGTTTGCGAAACTCGTGCTTGGGAAACAGATCAAAGGCCAGAAGTCCCAGGCTGGAGGCTGATTTGTTAACTGCCTATGACAATTGACCACTGTAGGTCGCGGTGCAAGGGCCGAGAAGGCCTACCCCTAATACATTCATTCATACATGTCTGTTCATTCAGTATTCTTGAAACACTGTCTCATCAGTCAGATTAATTGTTTCTTATTAACAGTTTTGATGTTATCTTGATTATAGGGGAGACAATAAGAACAAACCGATAGATCTTATTCTCACTTCATTATTCAAAGATGTCATCTCCATCAGCTTCTAAACGTTCTGAACTGTCCATCATATCTAACGAGTTCATGCCATCATGCATTTGTGGAACAAATTTACAATAGTTGGCAAATAAAAGCATTTAATAAATTCGGAATTATTCACAGTTATAACTGTAACAGGTATTCTAACCTACCATGAATCTAGGATTTATGATTACTAGCTCAAACAAAAATTAAATTAACATACCTAAGGTAACTGGTCACATTATTGTTAAGGTTACACCCAGATTTCAATTTTTTTAAATAAAAAAACCACAAAGTATAACAAATGTTCACAGGATCTTGAACATTTGTGGTGTCATTCTGAAACATTTGAAAGCAGTAAATTGCCCAAGGTCATGAAATATCTGTAATATTTGAACGTCAGACAAGGTTATAAAATACCTTTTATAACTTCCTCTTGCAACATAATGTGGTATTACAGAATCAAGTTCTGGGTTTGCACACCACTTTGAGTACTTTGAGACACTTAGAAATGAACATTCTAACACCAAAGCAATCTGGAGAATTTATTTCAAAGTTTGCAAAAAATGTGTTCATTTTACCTGATGGCATAAAGAAGTTAGCAAATGAGGTAAGTTCTGTGAGTAACAAATTTTGTTATAAGTTTCAATAGTTACTTTAATCCTTGGCTGTAACATTTAAATTCCCCATTTTGAAGTTGTTGAGTCAGTTCATATAAATTCCCTTTATATACTGTCACATGTAGGGGTGCAAATAAAGAGGGAGCATGGATTGGTGAATTGATTGATTGACCACTTATACACATCACACAGAACTACATGTATAACTAATTACAGCGCTGTCGCTAATCTCCACAATTCACAAATCACCATAGCACCTGGCAAGCCTTTTTCCACCCTGTTGTGTCTTTTTATCAGCTGTTCCCTGGCAGCAGCTTCTGACAGTGGAAATTCTTCAGTTTCCCATGCTCAGGTCCTGTCTTCACAGCCTCCTGTACAGAACTGAACTCTCAACTGACAACTGCCAGGCTTGTGGCCATTTCACACCTAGTCTTCTCTTCACAGGCTGACTTTCAAATGAACACTCTTGCAAATAAATTTTTCTCAACTGACAACTGCCAGGCTGGCAGCCATTTCACACTACCTTCCTAGTCTTCTCTTCACAGGCTGACCTTCAACTAACTGAGTCACCCCAAATGTCTCCCTTATAACCACTTTGCATGAACCACATAGAACACACTGTTTCCAACATTGAATTCCTGCACATACCCTCCACCACTATGTGCTAATGCACCATCCATTATTTTACAATCTTGTATAAATGTGTTATTCCTCAAGTAATATGAATTACAGCAGCAAACTCATGTTATCTGTCCACTATTAAGTGCTGTGCCTTTTGTTATCAGACTGCAGTCAGCATACACACAAGCAGTCAAGTGGTACCTCCATTGGAATTCCTGAGTACTTGTTACAACTGGTGCATGCATTAACTTTCAATTTTATGTATGTAGGGACATGTCACATCAGGATTACAATTTTACAACAAATGAAAGAACTTTAATAGGACCCTGACATGAAGTGTGAAGTGTAGTGAATAATTCATATTCTGCATTATTTCCCAGGTTGCAGAAGGTATAAAGAACAAACAAATCTGCATTGATGGCTTCTCACAGCATGAACTACATCCACAAAAGGCTGACGAGTCTTCTGTTGATTGGATATTTTTTGTTGATACACTTAATTTTTGCTTTTGGTCTGCCAATGAGAATACAAAATGGGAAGTGATATGGAATGGCAAAACCCATACAGGGTATTTTGCCCTCTGTGCATCTGTTAGAAGAGCTCTTCAGGTTTGTTACTTCTTGGCCAGTTTTAAGCAGATTCATATATATATATATACTATATATTACAACAGGAATTAGAGAAGTTTCAGACCTCAGAATGGAAGTGTATGGATTTGATGTGCAACAATAAGCCTGGAGCATAGTTGTTCAGGCACTATGCTATAAGTTGGAAGATCCAGGTTGTATTCCTGATGAAGTCATTGAATCTTTCAATTCACCTAATCCTTCCAGCCACACTATGGCCCTAGGGTCTACTCAGCCTCTAACAGAAATGAGTACCAAGAATCTTCCTGGGGTGTAAAGGCTGCTGGCACATAAGGCTGACCTCACTGCCATCTGTGAGCTGATAATCTAGAAAATATGGCAGTCTTAACAACCTATCACAGGGATAGCTTCACCCCCCCCCCTTTTGTCATAAAGCTTCTCCCATCTTTATGTCAACTTTCCTTTCATGGGGTATACCCAGTTTTTACAATTGAAGCTCTGGCAATAAAATCATGGCAGTATAACCATTCAATTTGTAGTAATGGAAGTACATTACTTAACTCAAGCTGACTTGGGTCCTGTGGTAAAGAAATTATGTCTGGTGAGAAGGAAATGCGGTTATGGGTACAGAATGTACCGGAAGTTAGCTCAAATGAACACAAGATTTTTATTTCTTTTATTTATGTTTTGAAAGCGTGAATAACCAGTGTGGACAAGTCAACTTTAAACCTATTAACATTTCTTCACATGCATGTGATGTAGGAATACTGGCTGTGGGGGGCTCCCTCAACATTTATCACTTTATTTAGGAAATTATGTTTTCACAGGATGGAATACCTGTGACTGATCCAAAATTCTACTCGCAAGTAACTTCTGCAGAGCTTGATCACATCTTACGTTCCGATAACCCTAATGCAAAAGTGCCCCTGCTGGAAGACCGTGTTACTTGCCTGCATCAAGTTGGAAAAATTCTCATGGAGAAATATATGGGTAGAGCAATATTCAGAGTTACAATTATGATTGTTAATATTTGTCTGAAGTCACGTGATGAGTATGATATCTCCATCCTCCTGTCACTTCTCTCTTAAGTACAATTATTATACTCAGAACCATAAGTCTTCCTTCAGGGTAACAATTTCACATCCATATAAAAATCAGGTGAAATTATGGTATGTGGTATATTCGGACTTCTTACATATGTAGATGGAAGACAGCAAGACAGAAGCCTCTGAATTAAAAAATAAGCATTTGCAAAATTTATTGTGCCCTTTAATTTTTTAAGAATGTAATTTTGATGGAATCTGGTAGAATTTATTTTAGGAAATATTCAATAACGTTTGCTTTGCAATGAAGTGTTGGGTGAGCAGATGTTTGAATATGGAGTTAGTATCTGACATTTCAGAGACTATCTATTCCTGTCTTTATGGGTTAATGTGATGAGTGTGACAGCCACATGTATTTACACCCACAGAGCATGCTGTCAACTGTCCCAGCAGAGATCACTGAGGGAACCATGGCTGGAGGCAGGTCAGTGATGTGACGTCCTAGCATGGACCTGGTGGGAACAGTAATCAGGGGCAGGAGGTTCTTCATCACAAGTCATACTCTTTGCTGTTGGTCCTCCATTACATAGTTTATTAATGTCTCTTCATATTGAAGCATGCTCGGTCAGGTACCACAAACAGCTGAGTATGAATCCCATGTTTCTATTGAAGTTGTCGGGATGTAGCCACATATCAGTGTCTCCTCTCGTAAGTGGTCCATGTGGCCTGTCATTTGGCCAGTACTCTAGTGTCCTTGAATTTTATCGAATGCTGTGCCTCAGTTGCCACTGACTTATCTGTCTCTGGAACATTAGATACTAACTCCATATTCACATAGCTTATCACCCGAGAAGACTTTATGCATACAGTTTCTAGGAAAATTTTTGATCATACTACTTGCTTTAATTGTTTTTCATAGGGTCATTTGTGATGTGTTTGAAAGAATGCAACAATTCAGCCCAGAATTTGCTGCAACTGATTGTTCAGGAATTCCCATGTTTCAGAGATGAAGCTGACTTTCAAGGTCACAGAGGTGAGATACTGTCTTGTTATCCCCTTGTGTATTAACAGTGAGCTTGACTCATGTGCATACTGACAGACCCTTAAGTCTAATTTTACCTTTAGCCCATTTATATAACATTAAAAAAGTCACGGATTGCACAACATATAGAAGTGTATAAGAAATTAAGCACAATGAAAAATCATAGTGTTAATACAAAGAACATCATCACTATCAACGTCACAGATTAACCCACTGATAACCAGCATCGTTTCCAAGACATGGTTGGTCACTGTCCAAACAGGTTCATCATATCTTCAAGAATCTGAAGTTCATGCTTAGACTGTACTAGTATTTTGTCCTGTCATCAACAGATGGCAGCCTTACGGCCATTTGTGATCTTTCTTTGGCCAGAGTATCTATTTTATTTATTGATACATGCCAATGGTATAAAATTATGACATTTTCATTAACCATACTGTAACAGCATGTACATGCTGCTATTTAGATGCATCCTCCAGCACAGTGCTGTATAAAGATTGTATTCAAGGTCTTGTACCAGTTACAAGAATTCTTTCTTTTTTTGTTATATACTCCTGGCATATTCTGCTGTTGGGTTTCTATTGATAGAGCAGTTAGAAAGTAGCTTTATGGAGCAGGGTCCTTAAGAAGCTGAGTTCCTCAGCTGTCAAGAAATTCCCTGCCTTTCATGGAACCTGAAGGCTCATTAACAAGTTCTCAACAGCTTACAACGTCCTTTTCATTTCTGGTTTTATGCCTAAAACTGTGCATGCATTTCTTGTTTTTCCCATGAGATCTATAGCTGCTGTCCCACGTACAATTACAAAATAACCCACCCTTGGATTAATTACAGGGTACCATAGAGCTCAACATGTGTATTTTTTATTTCAGTGGCAATTTACAAACGTGCACAGATACTGATTGGTGATATCTGGGCATGTTTTCGTGGTGAAGGGCTTGGTCACTTCAGTGACATTGACACCATAACTATGTTTGCTGACTACAGGTAAGTTATGCTCTGGCATAGGATTAAGAATCTTCATTATCAAAAACAATCTTATTAAAAGATTTTAGGTTTCTACACCAGTGACTGTTCAGATTTTTGTCTTCTGGGTTGTGACACTATAGTCCAGTATAGTCTCATCCCGCATAATGATATGGCATAAGAAGGCCTCTCCTTCATGCTCACAGCGCTCCAAGTGGTTACAAGCAGCGTCGTATCGTAGCCATTTCTGCATTTCCGTCAAATCATACGGAATCCATCGTGATGCAATTTTTCCCATGCCCAGGCTTTCCTTCAGAATGTGAAGCACAGTCATATGCACTAATCCTGTTTCTTGGGCCAGCTCGCCAGCTCACGAATCGTATACACAAGAGCATACACTTCTTCACTGACACTAGGGCAACCTGGCCGATGCATGTCTGCCACATTTTGGCGTCCCTCGTTGAAGGCTTTTACCCACCTTGCGACTGTTCTGTAAGGCAATGCAGATCCCCGAAAGCCTCTTGAAGACCCTGATGACACTGTTGTGCTGTACGCCCTATGGCACATTCAATCCTTATCCAACTCTGTTGTTCCTGTTTCGAAAACATCGTAGCAACACTACATTAGACTGCCAGCTAACACGAGGCTCTTTTCTTCTCGTCACTGCGCATGCGCGTGATGTGGGAAGAGAGGGTCCATTTGCTCTGAGGTAAGGCTGGTATGTAACTGACATGCAGTATAAGCGACATCATTTGGTTCCGTTGCATGGCGTCTCTACAGCAGTGTTGCCACTATTAAAGTTCCAACCCTCGTATGTGCACTCATGTTTAACCAGTTAAGTGGTTCTTTTCCGTGTTCTTATCTTTCCTGCAGTGGCACATTAAATTCCCTCAAACATTTAAATTTGTCACTGCAGCGTTTAATTTTAAAGTTTTTGCTCCCTTTTTAATATGCCATATCTCAATTGTGTTGTTACAAAATAATGGAACAAAAAGCTTCTGAAAGACCAATTATCAGACTTCACATACCAGTATTTTCAGTTCTATAGCTATTACATTAACGTCTATACATATTTTTTTTTGTAAAATTATGTACTTTTGGCTTTATTCTAAAAAAATCTGTGACTGTCGCCACTGATATGCATTTCACTTCCCAAAACATGATCACAAAGGCATGTCTGACTCATGCACATTTAGTGTATGCAGTTCTCTAACTGGCATCTGGGGTTTAGAAAGGAAACATGATCATAAACACACATTCCAAACTTAGCTTATTGCAACACTGGATACCTCATTGGTAGACAGAATTTCATAGTGACACCTGGGCAAACTCAAGGCTAGTATGGATGAATGAACTGGGTTTGAAAACCAGTTGTCCATGATTACACGGCATCCCTTATTCAGTAGAGGAGCCATCAGTTGTAGAACTATTTCTGAACCACATGGCTCATTTTTCGGGACTCATCAAAAACGTATCGTGCCCAGTGTAAATAGTAAAATTCCATACATAATCAGATTTGGCTTCACACAATTCAAATGATTTTATACCAAATCTGGAACGTTTTGAAAGAATGTATACCTTCCATGACAAATGTCCCTTCCACATCATTGAAGACTCCTCTACTGACACATCACACTCTGGTGTACATACACTCCAAATTAGGCATTTAGATGATTCAGTATGGGTTTGAGTTTAATCTTTTGGAACCGCAAGTTGCCTCATCGTAACTTTCGTTGTCAACAAAATGAAGAAACTTGAGTAGAAGGTGAAACGTCCTTTTGCTGATTAGCTCCAAAATTATGGCTATTTCCAGAATTTTCCTATGGCAAAAATAGCTCTAGCTATCCAGTTTCTGATGAAGTCCTAAAACAAAAAGAATGCCAGCAACTTCATTATATCAATTCTGTTGATCTCCTTCAGCGATGGGTCCTAGATTTTATTTTTAGATTAGGTGTGTTTTCTAAAAATTTTTGGGCATATGGATTTCTTTTTCTGGCTATTACTTCCACAATGTCTGGCATACAAAACAGCTCAAAATATTCCAGGAGGTTACTGGGATCTTCTAGATCAACATTTATGGCAGACTTGCTAGTAAATGGAAAAAATGGTCACTCAGCACCTGAATTTCCCCATTTCAGGTTGCATGCTACTGCTGTCGCTGAAATTTTCTGCTTCATCACCAGAACAATCTTTATTCACCACCTGCCAAAAATTTTCACATTTATTTCACTATCATTACTACATTCACTCTCTGAAATATCACTGTATTCGTTCTCTTGTAACACCTCCTCATCACTTACACGCATCTTCTTGCTAGGATGTGCCATAATGCTTAGTCAAAAGAACTCGAACTCAGAACAGCTATCAAGCAATCAACAACTTGCCGTCACACTCTAAAGTAACTTCAACTTCTTGCAAGCACAACCTATAAGTTTGCATTGATGACTGGCAAAATATCTACCACAGAGTAGTTAGGAACATGCATGACGTCTATAGACATCATGACCACTACGATACACAGCACCACATGAAGTCTATAGACATCATAACCACTAGATGGTTAATCAGACTGCCATATTTCACAGTGACACTGTTTTTATATGCAATATTCAGCTCAAACTTGATGTCAATTTGCTGAAAGTCATACTATATTTATTCTTCATTCTTCATCAAAATTGCATTAAGAAATACCATAAAGTAATGAAAGTAATGCATGCTTAGGCCCTTGTTGCAATAAATGCTTCTTCCTCTGTCAGTGTAGTTACAAATTTTACTTTATCAGGGTTGTAATATAATCTTATTAATCCTTTCTAGGCTACTGATCAAATTTTGCATTAACAACTGATAGTCATGTGTCAGTGCTAGTTACAAATGATTCATCCTGTGACAATAGCTCTGTAGCAAAACATATGGTAAATGTGAAGTTTTCACTTTTCTTAATCAAGCACCACACCAAGAGGACATTGGGGAGAAGAAGGATAGTTCATTCATTCTTACCCTCAGCAACAGATGAAGCTGAATGGTGGACTTCTTTCCCTGGCTGCCTTACAGGAGAAAGATGCCCCAGTACCCACTTGATAGGAGGCTGGGTGGCCCTAGAGCCAGTCTGGTTTCTGGGATAAATCTCTTGTGCCTGTCTGGAATTGACCATGAAAGCCAAAAGTCATATTTTCTGGAAACTATTGTTGGCAGTAGGAGATGCATTTGAATGGTGCCATATTAAAATCATGCTTCTCAGACATATTTCTTTACACACAATGAAATGCCATGTTTCAGCTCCAGTCTTTACATATATTTTGTTAATTGCTGGTTATCAGTTTCATGTTTTCTCCATTTATAGAGTGCCACAAGTTCTGGTTCACTATGGAGTGCTAAAATACAGTGACGAGCTGATGGAATTACTGAAATCTGGTAAGCAAAAACAAGAACCTAAAAGCAGTGATTCCCACATCTCACATGGCTTACCAACTAATCAACTCTTATTGTATCATCTGTTGCAGATAAACTTCTTGAAAATGGAAGTGAAAATGAAGTTGAAATTCGTGGTTGTTCAATTCAAGCCGTGGACCTAGTTGCAGATGAAGCTCGAAAGCTACTGAAATCTCAAGGTCATTCAGATCTCATTGTCAGTTCAATCCTCATTGACCATTTCTTGTGGGACTATCGTCGCAAGCATGCAGCGATGCTAGAGTTAATTCCGTTCCATAAGACAATGAGTATTTTTTATTGAATGAATTGCAGTGCAAATGTCAAATATGTACAACTGAATGAATGTTGCCAGTATACTGAAGAATGTATTTTTAACCTTTTTTTTTTACTGAGAATCATGTGGTTTTATCAGTCCACTTTTCTAAATACTTAAATTTTGAATAGGATTTTACTATGTTTTACCGCATTTGGTGGGGTGGGACCCTTTTCCTTTTGTTACATTCTGCTATGTCAGGTGGAGGAAAGGGTTAAAGTATGTGAAACTTGAGCACAGACAATGTATATAGGACAATCCCGATTTAAGGTTTCTCAGTCCAAGAGATACCCTTATCCTGTGTTCATTTTGTTGTGGTCCCAGCTAAAGTCCCGTAAAAATAATGTACCATTTTCCCTGAATTAGTGTATCTCATTTTAGCATTTTATTGTGGGTGGGGTGGGGTGGAAGATCCATCACTACATCAAATCTGTATCTTGATTCAGAATTATGTTTACCAGAATGGAAAACTAGTTGTTTTCTCTATTATCAGATTATATAATGAAGGGTAGTCTTCAATTTGAATGTGAAAGATATACTGTGTAAGATTTGAAAGATATACTGTTTTCTTTTTAACATTTTCAGCTTTTATAAGGTTGATATTTCTAAGATGCAGTGAATTGTAACTTTCAGGGTGCACTCTGCTCTGTCAGCATAAAGAGATAGACACTAATTAATTAAAAAGCCAGTACTTTCGGCTGTGATGGTTTTAACGCAAGTACTCTCAAGCTGATCTATTTAGCTTGTGGCATGCAAAGGGTTACTATAAAAGCCCACACCTGGGGCTCATACTGTTCCAATTAAATTCTATCCACACAACCATAGTGTAATGGATCTTCTGGTACAGATAAAAGTAAAATATTATAAAATGTGAACTGTTCCAATTTTACTGCTTGTATCTAGCACATACAACATACAAACATGGGGAATTATCCCTCAGTGTGAGCCCCTTTGTGGACATGACAAAGCTCATTACAGGAACCCAGTTCTTCTCACATCTTGCTGACCATCTCCAGTATGGTCTGCATGAAAGTTGTGAAAGTCTCCACCAGATAAAGCTCAGAACAAGGTGTATGGTACATTACTCTCCAGGGACAGTTGCCTCATTATCCAGCATGAATAACAACTTCGGCCTCAAGCTGATGTGTACTTCCACTGGTATACAGTTCAGTCATTCTGCTTCTTCATTGTATGATACTTCATATTTGGAACTTTTCGTGCACCATAGACAGGGCAAAACTCATGCTGCACTGCTGTCACACTCTCAGAACTTTTCGTAAGCTGACACACCCTGCTTGCTGTATACTTGCCACAATTTTTACTGTAGATTTGCCATGAACTGCAAGTTGCACAAGGACAGTGATTATCAAACAACAAATTACCAAATTTTATTAGCATACATGACATAAGTCATATGATGCTTAAAGTACTGTTTCCATACATTTTATTTTTATCTGTACCCAAATAACTTACACTTCCCGAACATCCATTTTAATTTTGTCTTCTAAGCAGTCAGGGGCATGCGGTAGCATAGTTGGTTGAGGCACTATGCTACAAGCTGGAGTCAACGCAGCCTCTAACAGAAATGAGTACCAGGAATATTCTACGGGGGTAAGGGTGGCCGGCGTGTAGGGCTGACTACCTTTCTGCCATCTATGAGCAGATTGTCTAGAAAATGTGGGAACCTCGACATCTCACAACCAAATGGGCCTCCACGGCCTGTTACAGGGATACCTTTACTTACTTACTTCTAAGAGGTCAATTCCCAAGAGTTTTCCTTCAAAATTTGTATGCTTATTTTGTATTATGAACAGGATTACATCTGACTTTCCTTACAGAAGTGGTTCCATTGTTCATACTAACAAGAAGTACAAATTTGTTTATTCTTTAAGTCTACACTGTGCAGCCCACAGACAAGAGGAGTTTGGCTGTGCATCACTGTTCTAACATTTCCATGTAAGCAGTATATCATCAGTTGTTATTCTACAAACATAACTACTGTTTAAGCAGCTTAACAGCTCATACTTAGTCATTCTTTATGGGTTACTTACCTTCACTATATTGGGAAAAGCATATCTGTATACTATTATAAGTTCATCAGTACATAACCACTATCATTCTCCACTTATTTAAAACGCCTAGTCCCACTAAATATTGCCTTCTATTGCATGTTTCGTGACTTTTTATGGTATTCTCCTGCAAAAGCCATCACTAATTCAAAGTTCATCTCTAAGGTCACTAGCCTCCTAACACAAAATTACATTAAAATACAATTTAAAACAAACAAATGTGACCCCACAAACACAACCCCTTTTAGGTTAGAAGATGAAGCAAACAGCATCATTCATGTTCCACAACTATGTATATCACTGACTGCAAACAATGCCTGGTGCAGATGCACCTATAAATCTACATTCACACACCACTGATTCAGCTATAATCTAACGGAACAAATATGAGGAATCAGCAGGAACTTGAAATATTACTCAAAGTGTGGCATGCTCTATGTCTATTAAACAAAGGAGAACTTGGTAAGGTAAAACATATACATACAAATGAGATAGAAGAGAAACAGGAGTGATACAACATATCCCACAGGAAAATCAAATTAGTCAGAAATAAATCTCCTCCCTATGACTTGTCCCATCACAAATTCCACAGACTGTACTGTAGTGAACATGGGCCTCTATGATGAGAAGTCAGCATTTCATGAGACCGTGGCATATCCATCAATAGAAAACACTACTTTCTACAAACTTTAATGTTCTCTCTAAGGATGATTATTTGTCTACAAGTACTCCAGCCATTCTCAACTATCCCATTTACATGAATACTGATACAAAACTACATACAGTATAACATAAATAACTTAAGTATTAGCAGAAGTCTACACATTACATTATAAAAAATCTTTTACAGTTGCACATTGCAATACAATAGAATTTTCAAAATTCTTAAAAAATAGAGAGAGATTGACAGATGCTCCATTAAAAAAGGCTTATTATATCCTGTTTGATTGTATTTCACTTCTGATAGGAAAAACATTTATATTAAAGTTCTTTCAACAAAACAATGGCATCAGTAATATTGTAATTTTATCTCTTTACTCATACAATGCAATAATGGCTTCATCTTTAACCACAATGGGATCCCTCAATATGTCAAAGAGTCTAATCACAAAAATACAGTGACACCACATAAATAATTTGTAAATTAACATATGACATTACAGTATGTCACTTTTCTGTATTTTACCATTAAACCTGGTGCACTGTCGTTCCTGAATAATCACTGGTTATTGAGATATTCAGTGTTGTTATTAACCCCAAAGTTCATCAGCATCACAACAAAGTCCCGTGACTAAATCCTGGACTCATATAGGTTCAACAACTTGGATACTGATTCTTTCTTTTAAATACCTTAAGTGACATCTAGCACAGAACAAAAATTCTGAAGTGCAATCACAAAATATTTTCATGGATAATACTGTCACTTTGCTTCAGCTATGTTCTGTTCCTATATTCCTTTTGTTTCTCTCTTATTTCTTTTTGGCAATGACAAAGTTGCTATGATGATAGAGAGTGCACTCACACTGAAAAGGGTTGAAGAATGACCTTCAGTAGAGGACAGTTCCTGTCCTTAATATTTCTTTATTATCTTTCTCACAAACGAAGTGGGTGCATTAACAATTGTAAGATTATGAAAGGGATACAATAAAGCAACAGAGTATTCCTGCTGTGGGAAGTAATCATCATGTCAATCTTGCTGTTTCTGCAAGACAGGCTGCAATCTTTAGGAAGGTTATAGGGCATAGTCTCACATCCAAATGACATCAAAGGTTCAGAAAAAGACAAAGAGAATATCAAAGCAAGCCCTGGAATATACACCACTGGGATACAGAGAACCTGCAAGATACTAAGAGGATTTAGGAACAGATAATTAATCTTAATCCTGCATAGTTTATGATAATGATGAGAGATATAAAAAGTGAGAAGTAATCAGATTAGGCTGTGCCATAGTTCATATGGTTAGCTTACTTCTCACACAGAGATATGGGGTTGATCCTGGGTGACATGTGAGATTCATAGTGGATGAAGTGGCACTGGAGTAAAACTTTGAGTTCCTTCAGTTTTAACCCTATTAATCATTCCATCATACTACATACTCATCTATCAGTGCCTCCTCAAGGTGAACGAAAGCCCTGACCAGGCAGCACGTAACCACATCCTCAGTCTTTAACCCTTTGGCATTGTTTCACATATATAGTACATGAAAAATTTAAACGTACTATTTGCAGTTCTCCAGACAAGTTTGGATGCAAGCTGTACTTCTGTAGTCTCTAGCCTCCAGGTTTGAACTCAGCTATGACAAAAGCTGTGAACATTTTGTGTGTGTAGCTACGGTATGCACGAGACCAGTACATACACAACAAATGTCCAGATAGTGTGTGAAAACACTGTGAACTCAAAGTACCAATATGAATGGTATCTGTCTGAAAAGTATGTTCCCAAAATATCCACCATTCATGAACCCTGTTCATCTTACAACCATGTATGTATGTATCTATCCTCCCTCCACCTTACAATACCTCTCCTAGTGTTCCAACTTTGGGAGGGCTTACTTGTTTTTTGGGCAAACCCTTGGCAAGGCTATCACTACAGGAATTCACTCACATGATTTTGCCATGAGAAATTAATAAAAAGCAATAAGTATGAATTACTAAAATAAATCATTAACTCAACATGCTAACTGTACGTGCATTAATAATCAGTGAATTACATACATGAGTATTTTTATGTATAAACAAGATGAATGTGCTGGAGTGAGATCTAAATATGAAAGCTGCGTACCCTGCTTTGATTTCTACAGATAATTATAATTTAACATTCATCATTTTTAAGGTTAAATAATAACACCATATATGAAATACATTATGCCACTACAAGAGGAAATGTAATGGACAAAATATAAAATAAAAAAAATCCATATTTAGAGATGGTTACACTCAAATTCTTTCTATTAAAACAAAATTATATGGTTATGTTAAACTAAATTTAATTAATTTTGGACAACCAAAACTCCACCATGCTTTTCAATAGCAAATATAATTCATATCTTTCTCTTTCACGTTTATATACACTGATTTCCTTACCTTCAAACATTCAAATATCCATATGATTAATACATTGTCAAAAGAGCAATAAAAATAACTACAAAAGATCTTGTATAACAGCAATATTACCAGCAAAACTGCAGTCCATCACACTGATATTAACTTGGTAAACAAATGTTTGTCAGATAACCCAAGTTATCCACAAAAAAACGTAATGACACCATAAGATGACATCACTGCTGGAGCATCGCTTGTGGTTCATTCGGTAAGCAATAAGGCCTTCTATTCAAGAAACTCTGTGACTTCTTTCAGTTCTCGCTCCCTTGCCTGCTGATGAGCCCATCGATCTTCAGCAACTTTTTCACTCACTCGCAACTTGTCATGGTAAATTCGCTGCCCACATGTAGGACACTTCTTACCGCCTATAACACATTGCCATTCTTGGGTTCCATTTATACCAGCATTTGTGGTGGGTCCTAATGAACCAATGATCAGTCATGTGGCTGTGTGCAAACACCTCCATTTAAATTAATGGTTCACTAAGACATGACACAAATGATTTTGGAAAAGGAGCCCTAGTTGAAATTTTTAAGATCTGATAAAACAATTATAGAACCTGGAGGCATATTACTTAGGCCTGACCATATTTTCATCAGGTGCCTATGATAATTGCTTCATTCATATTTTGGACATGATTCTAGTGGCTGACATCATAGACATGACTGTATTATGCAAATTACAATGCTCCAAACAACATAATATTTATTTTGATAGATATATTGATGGGGACTGCATAGTACTATGCCATGCACTGGCTGCTCATGAGTAATTTGCTGCTTATAATGAAACCTTTGTTGATTGCTCCTACTGACAGATTAAATGTTGCAGTAGCTGAAACTACTGATTTAACTATTCATTCTACATGCATGCGGAAGAATAAATTTTCTCCTCAGTATTCTGGAAAATTAAAATGGTGTGTAAAAATAAGATTTTATATTAAGACAAATATTTTTATAATGTTTCAAGGAGATTAAGTCAGGCCTCTTTGGATTATGTCTATAGATAAAAAATAAAGTGCAACCAAACAATTTTGGAAGTATATGCCCGAACTAAGACTGTAGAGTGGGAGAGAGAAAAAAAATTATGGCGGCTTGAAACTGATGAAACTGTATCGACTGAATCTTCTGAAATTGCTAGTGCTTCCTTTAAACATTTTCAACCTACCCACAGTAATTCAAGCTGGGGGAGGGATTTTTCCCTCCCTAATGAATCTATAGAAGATTTGAGATTAACACACCAGTGACTATGAAGAGTTTATCCTCTTGAATGGGGCACCTTGTAGTCTGGTAGAACTTCACTGATGTTTCAGAGTAAGATAATACTTCCATCGTCAAGGTCAAAGAGTAACCTGAGCAAGCAAGCAGCATGCAAACAGACTTGCTCCATACTTGTTCAGGTTACTCTTCAACTCTGATGATGCAGGCAGTACATTCCTCTGATATGTTGGTAAACTTCTACAAGACTACAGAAGACAGTGCTTTTCATTCTCTGGAAATTTTACATTTACCTCCATTTTATAATCTGATGTCTGTAATCTTAGCAACTAATTGCAGCCACACCCACCTACAATCATACATAAGGCCTGAAGCTTTATTCCCACATTTTCAAAACACAATCACAGTATAACTTCATCTTTATCTCTTTGAATGTGACCTTAATTGAAAATGTCAAAAGAACTTGTAATGCAAAAACATGTGTTGAGTTACTCTTACGTTTCTACACCTACCCTGAAAAGGAGGAGTCTTCATGTAGGTAATGAGGCACTGGAGATGAAACAGATGGCTGCAATAAACACGCTCCACATGACTGTCTGCATTTTCACTTGTTTCTGCCAGCTACAAAAATAATAACCATGCAAATACAAGATTTGGCATACCCTACATTATTATGTGGGGTTTGAGAAAGGTTTCCTGTTTAACATAATTTGTACCCTTCACCTAATATTATTAGGATTGCTGAATCGAGGAGCATGAGACGGATGCGATATATAGCATGCATGGGGGAGATCAGACGTGCACACAAAACTTTAGTTGGAAAGCCACAATGAAAACATAGAACTTAACAAAATGAGGCACACATGGGAGGATATTATTAAAATTTATCTTCACAAAATTTCTAGACCAGCTGAGCAACTTTCAGCTTCTAAAAAAGACACTGCACCACAGAGTTATTTCACTGTTCAACATAATTACTGTACTACATTGCATAAATCAATGTTCTTTTTTTTTTAAATTTTGTGCTAAAAATGTGAGGTGTGATACTTGGAAGATCTGTGACAATGATTTATCATGGCAAACAGCAGTTTTCCGGATCTATTTATAAAAATGAGACCTTTTCTCAGAAACAGTGGGTAGGTACTACACATGGTTAATCAGTAATAAATAGTAATTTATTTCTTACATTCGCGTTCTTTACATAATTATAAAAACTCTTTTACGTTCTGTATCGCTTTCATTAATAAGCAGGAGAAAGTTAGTAAGTAAAATCACTCCCTTAGAAGTGGATGATTCATTTACAAATCTCTTGCATTCTCTGATGCTAGGAAAAACCCTTTAGACAAATAGAAGCTTAATTCTCATTACTGTACTGACATTTTTGGATAACAATATCTTGAAGAGATAATGAGGTTAAGGGGGTGTGAACTTCATGAAAGGGTAGATGACACATATCGAGTAACTACTGAAGCATCGTTAAATATTTATGTTTCATTCAACATTTTGCAGACAACAAAGTAGGAATTGCTTGGAGATAACTATAAGAATTCCATGGATTTTCCAACCCTCAGAGGCGTTAGTAAGCAAAATCACCACTTAACAGTGAATGATTCAATTATGAATCTCTGACAAACCTTGATTCCTATAAAAACATTTTCAACACACATGGCAAAAAAGAGTTTTCGTTCTTATGAATTTAATCTTCTTTTAATAATATCACAATTACACAGCGAATTTCCACTTGGCTACCTAAAATTTTGTATTGGGGGAAAATATTTCCTTTCAGCTTATAAGGGATAAATGATGATCAAATAATAGGTTTTGAACAAAACAAAATGTAATTCATTATATCCATAGAAAGGTGTCTCCCACAAACAGATCTGAGACATCATGTCACACTGGCTTGGCTCAGCATCCCATCTATCATATTTCTATGATTCCAAAGCTATGATGTAATCACATAATATACAGGAAATGGTACAGACTGAATTACACTGAATGTGTTGAAAGCAATGCCGTCCTAGTCACTCCTGATGTTCAGTCTTCTGCTTTTCACATGTAAGAACGGAAGAGCAAAACAAATGGAGATTTATTTCTTCTTATTTCTCAGCAGAAACAAAAGGTGCACAAACTGTATCACAAAATTCCATACATTTCTTTACCGCTGCATCCAAATGAATACTTACAACTCTAAATTAACATGTGAAGAAGAGATCCTGGGAAGCAGCATAACTGAAAACAAACAGAAATGTTAGGCCAACTGTTTACCATTGGGTCCTGTGGAAGGCAACTCTTGTTACATAGCTGGCAACTCTCTTGTGGGATCTGCTTAACTGATGAAACCAGGAACGACACAACCGGCTGTAGTGATGGTGTAGGTCTAAATGGGGCCTGGTTCTTTGCTTTAGGTTTAAGTGGAGGCTCAATGCATTGCCTTGCAATTTCTTTGCTTTGTCCAACAAAGTAACGTTGAAAGAGAGGAGGAAAATTTGTTTCGACATCCTCCAGGCTGAAAAAAGGCCAGAACTCAATCTGAGTGATACAGCATTTAAACTGCTATAAGATTTATTTCTTCCATTAGAGTTAATTTGGTTACTTTGAATCTGATAATCTTATAATATGAAAATAAAATACAGTATATTCTATTCATAAAAGAATTCCAAAAGGGTCTGAAGAGACTTTCAGTTAACAAGGTACAGTAAAATCCCTATTAGGCTGTGCCATAGCTCAAGCGGTTAGTCACTGACTACACACTGCGGTGGCCCGGATTCAATCCTGGGTCTGGTCAAGTGGGATTTGTGGTGGACAAAGTGGCGCTGGGGCGGGTTTTCTCCGAATACTTAGGTTTCCCCTACCAATCTTCATTCCACCAAATTCTCCATCATCATAATCACCCGGGGCAGGCTACAATAGGCCAATCATTGGCCGCTGTGCTGAGTGGACCCAGTTGGACTCCACCACCCACTAAGCGAATTTAAAATTTAAAAATCCCTATTTAAGATTTCCTTTGGAGCAACATTTCTGTACCTTAAACTGAGAGAAGTCTTAAATGAGAGGCATACAGAATTCCAAAAGAAAATGACACTTCATGATTAATTACAAATATCTCCTTTAATCTAATGAACCGAATAAATACATGATACATAGACCTAAAAGAAATGGAAGACACTCTATAATAGGCATAACTGCAGCAAGCAAAGACAATCTTTCTTTGTCCTATCAGGGCTAGTACAACAGCAAAGAATAGCCAAGCAGCCAAATGGCATGGACATTTTACAAACTTCCTTCCTTTTTCTACCATTAAATTAAAGTTAATTCCTGCCAATATAATGTTCATGCTGTGGACGTTAACTGGCAGTAATTTCAACATGTTACACAATAATATAAGGCAAAAACTTTGTAGAATGATGACAGTTTTCATCACAGTGTCTGGAAATTCTGTGTCTATGACTAAATCTTGAGAAAGTCGATCTAATTTACAGGAGGATATTTCTGTCACCAGGGGTTGCATTTAGGTTTGCACCAGCCCTAACACTGTCTGGGAATTTCATATTATTAATTACAACAGCATTTTGAGAAAATGGAATGGTTACTAACTGGTGGAAAGGACATGGAACTTCTCTTCGCCCAGTGCATCATTTACGATCGTGCCAACACTGTCTTAAGGTTAACACACTGCAGACTGGATTGGCCATATGGCCCTCTACGTTTCCAAGCGTTGCAGACCAGGCGGGCCATATAGCCCTCTACGGTCACGTTATGTTGCGAAACACTATATATCACTGTGTGGCTTCGTTGAATCGTAACTACTGCGTAGATGACCTCGGGAATGATTACTGCCTTATCTAGTAACTCGACCAGAGTCATTTCCTGTCACAACCTAAACAAAATTGGCTTTGTTCTAAGCCAAGCTTGCACGTATCAACCACGCAGCTACCAGTTCAACATGGCTCAGAGACGAAAGCAGTTGCGATCTCTCGGAGGACAGGAAATATTAGATATGTTCTCTGATGAGCTATCAGATTTGCCAACTGCTTCGTCTTCTGATAGCGAGGCCATTATCAGTGACAGTGACAGCTCCGATGAAAGTGCGAATTTGCCAACAGCTACATGGGATAAAGTGGACAAAACCCCCACTTTGGGAAAGTTTACTGGTGATCCGGGGGTGAAGCAGATGCCATCGGACCCAACAGACGTGTCTGAAGTTGCGTCACTGTTTTTCAAGATAGTTTCTTTGACGGAAGGGGGACATTCTTCTTCAGTCCTGGAGGGATACTCGCGTTGTGAATATGGTTTCCACTATTCACAATTCGAGCATGGTCGATGTTCAAACACGACACAGACAAGTAAAGAAGCCTCTTTGTATTTCCGAGTATAATATGTTCATGAAAGGAGTTGATAGGGCCGACCAGTTCTTGGCCTATTATTCCCTTCCTAGGAAAACAGTAAAATGGACGAAGAAAGTTGCACTGTGGCTTATAAACTGTGCAATTTTCAATTCATTTACGGTTTTCAAAAAGGTGAACAGAAATTCTACTTTGAAATACAAAGCATTTCTGTTGAAACTGGCAAAAGCTTGGGCTACTGACGTCACGGTGGCGGCAGTACCTGCGTCAGACACAGACGTAGTGCAGCCGGGGCCATCTGTTTGCACCCGCCAGAGGCCTCAAGTAGAAGAGTGAATATTGCAAGAAGAAACACCCTTCTAGGCAGTGCCGTGTGTGCGCAGAGCACAAGAAGAAGAGTAGAACTGCCTACATGTGCAACTTCTGCGTAATGCCTCTTCACAAAGGGGAATGTTTCTAGAGATATCACACGCGCAAGCACTTCTAGGAGCTCTGGTAAGTGTTCTCCAAAAATTTCAGTTTATAAAATTAATTAGGAGATTTTATATTAATTTTTAAAGTGAACAGTGCACAAGTTAAGGTAGTAGGTTTAAAAACGCCGGTCCCCAGGGTGATTTAAATGTATAAACCACCAGTCCGAAATGTGTTAACAAGATGACATTTAAAGTTCAAGGTCTCTTTGAGAAAACAACAGCAGTGCATAAATCCTACATTTACCTGAATGGAAGAAAAATCTAAATCTATGACAACCCCTGACTAAGGAACAAGGTTACATAACATTTATCTTTATTAATTTCATACGGTTATTAGAAGCAAAAATAATATACAATTGAAAAGATATTCCAGAAATATATGTCTCTCTCCCTCTCTCACTTGCTAAGGTGAAGGCATATGGCATGAATATTAGCATTTACTGTATCTTAGAAACATCAATCCACTACAAGCTTAAAATGTTTAAAAACATCAATATATTTTGCATGCTCAAATTCAATATGACAATTTTTAGCTCTGAAAATAGAGAAAAATACCATCTTATACTTGTGTAAATAGAATACTAAACCAACAGAGGAAACCTGCTTGCTGTATCATAACATGGTGTAGTTACTGCTTGAAAACAAACTCAAAATGAGCAATGAGAAGAATGTGGTGTTAATGAATGATTTCTTATGCTGCAATATTAAACCACACATGAGAAGAATCGTAACTGATTAAGTGGCATCATTTTGTTGAACTTCTCATGGGCAATCATGTGGAGAAGAAATATTCTACAATAACACAAGTTTCTACAACAGTGTGTCAAAACCTTGACTCAAAAAATTATTTTGTTTGTATTTAAGCTTTCAGATGGTATGTCAATTGCATGTGATATAGTGCTCTAACAGGCTGTGGCCTAATGACTCACACAGGATTTAGTAATTTCAGTATTGGACAACAACAAAAAATGCAGTGAAACTTCCATTTAAGGTTCCTCTGGGGATTGATGGATTTGAACAAAATGAGGAATGGAAGTAAATTAATACTGAGATTACTGACTTGAGATCAGTGAAACTGAATGAGGATAAAAATTAAACTAAGTAGCACTAAATGAGAATTCCACTGTATATGGGCTCTAGGAGCCGGTCACGGTAGCCGAGCGGTCTAAGGCATGCACTGTCTTCACTCGCTCGGAAGCCGAGATCATGGGTTCGAGTCCCACTCAGGGCATGGATGTTTGTGTGCGTTTTTCTGTGTTTGTCTACAGGTAGAGGCCTTGCGACGAGCTGATCACCCGCCCAAGGAGTCCTACCGTATGTGTAAGATCTAGAAAAACCAAAGTGAACGTAGTTCATGGAGGTAGACCTAGGCCCACTGGGGCTGTAGTGCCAAGGGGGAAAAAAATGGGCTCTAGGAAGGTTTCTATACCTGAGTATTGTGCTCCAGTCCCATACATGTAGATCACCTGATGCATAAAACTACCATTTCAAAGATACTCAGTGTTTAAATCTATTATTAAAAAACCATGACAATATTTCAACCATTGGCAGATTTACATCTTACCTGATTGAATGTTCTGGATAAGCATCAGGAACAAGAATCCTAGTCCTAAAATAATATTCTCCTTGTGATACCTTCAGACTCAGAGATGATGTTTTCTGTTTTAGTTTCAATTCATCTGCTTCAGTAAGATCCTTCTTTATGGCTGAAATCTCACTGTAGCAGCATGATAAAGGATTCTCATCAATGAAGTTACGGATTAATTTAAGAACTGTAAGTACCTACAAAATGAACAGAACTTTCAATGTAAGTCTTGGAGTGACAAAACATTCTTCTAGCTACAGTGGTCCCTTTCTGATCTCTCAACTTGAATGGAGAATAAAGATTGAAGTCACTTATGCTATATGGAACATGCAAATCCACAGGAAACAAAAAGGCTGAAAAATGAAGTCAAATAATTACATACCAAGGACCTTCAAGAATTGTACTGTATAGCAATTAACTTATTATATAGAGACTAGTCACATGGGAAATTAAGAAAAGTTAACAAAGTTTTGTTATGAAAACTCACAAACAACATGGGGGGCTAAAGCAAAGATGGAGGCAGGGGCAGGGGAAGAAAATAAAGTTGATCAAGTGTAATTTAAATTCAATAGTGAACTCACTCGAGATGGTAGGCTTCTGATTAAAAAATGACATCAAAAAGAGGGGGGGGGGGATGAAGGGACCAAGTCAGTTCTGTGTGGGAGTCTGTGAAGAGAGGACCTGAGTGCATGAAGATGAACTGCCACTGTTAGAAGACCCTGCCAGGGAATGGCTGATGAAGGCATAGGAAGCAGGAAAAGACTTAGCGGGTGCTGTGGTGATTTGTGAACTGTGGAGATTAGGAGTAGCGCTGTAATTACTTGTACTTATAAGTCGTGTGTATAAGTGGTCAATAAATCCATTCACCAATCCAAACCCCCATCTGTACCCACACTCATACATGTGACAGTATTCTTACAAAGGATACAATTATGTAAACATTCTGAAGCCTCCCCATCTAAGACACTTTACTGCTTAAGAAATTCATGTTTCTTGTTCACCAGGAAACTTCATGATAGGAATCCACTGTGTCTACATTTCAGTGAGGTATATTTTGTCACTCCTGTGTGGAGGCACTACAGCCCCACAAGTTGTACATGGCGACAAAAAGTGAACCTGGTGCCTGGGATTATAACTGGGCCACCCTATCACTGGGGAACATAAATATAGGGACTTGGTATTCTAGGTTGGGAATTGTATGCAAGACTGACGACCTTGCTCTCCAAGAAAATGACTGCCATGAAATCCAAAGACAGGAAAACCTGACTAACTCTGGCAGAAGCTTCTAAGGAAGGCTATGGATCATAAAGAGCTGTCTTGCCAACGATGATGATGAAGATATTTTAACACCTGAATCGTTTTTTATTTGTATCATATCGTGAGAGGGGTACGCGGTAGCATAGTTGGTTGAGGCACTATGCTACAAGCAGGAAGGTCGTGGGTTCAAATTTCAATGAGGTCATTGGATTTTTTTTTCAATTGACCTAATCCTTCTGGCTGCACTATGACCCTGGGGTCGACTCAGCCTCTAACAGAAATGAGTACCAGGAATTAATTAAATAATTTTCCTGGGGAGTAAAGCGCGGCCGGTGCGTAAGGCCGACAACCTTACCACCATCTGTGAGCCGATTGTCTAGATAATGTGGGACCCTCAACGTCTCATAACCATATGGGCCTTCACGGCCTGTTAAGGGTTAGCTTTACTTTACTTATTGTATTGTGAGAACTGTCTACCAAGTGTGGCAAAGCTAGAGGAACAAATGCTAAAATGCTATACTGGAAATATCAAACTGTGGGCATTTAACAGTAAAACTGGTCCATCAGAAGTTAGCTGCATTTAGCAAGAAGAAGAATCTTTTTACCAGCAAATTGCACTTAAATTTGTGAAAGAAACTAGTGAAATGCTACATTTGGAGCATGGCTTTGTATGGGGCTGAAACTTGCACACTTAGGGCAGCAGATCAGAAACACCTGGAAAGTTTCGAAATATTGTGTTGGAGAAGGATGGAGAAGATCAGTTGGACCGATTATGTGAGAAATGAAGAAGTGTTAATTAGAGTCAGTGAGCAGAGGAATATCCTACACGAAATAAGAAAAATGAAGGCTAATTGGATTGGTCATGTTTTACGCAGAAACTGCCTTCTAAAAGAAGTTATTGAAGGAAAGATAGAGGGGCGGATAGAAGTGACAAGAAGACGAGGAAGAAGACGCAAGAAGATGCTGGATGACCTTGGGGACAAAAGAGGATGCTGTCATTTGAAGGAGAAAGCTCTAGATCGCATCAAGTGGAGGAACTGTTTTTGAAGAGACTGTGGACCTGTCGTCTTGAGAGATTACTGATGAATGAATATTAAAACCTATACATAACATACAAACAAAAATTCATGCATATGGTTTTCTGATGCACTGAATCAGAGTACAAACCTGTGGTTTTCCTATAATCTTCTTTGCTTCTTGTTCACAGACATTAGTCAAACCGTCAAGCAGCTTGTCTGATAGAGTTTTACTCTTCAATTCAATAAGAAGAGGTGAGAAGGGATAGTCACTAGGAAATTGAATGCAAGCTACAATGTGCTTAAATGTTGTACGCCTAAAGGAAAAGAAATATTGCAATTAAACCAATGTCTGATTACTTATGCATAGTAAGAAGCAATTACAATATATACTATTCTGAGGAGAAATGATTCAATACTTTCACAGTGAATACTGTGTGTTGCATCTGTTTCTGGGTACAGCACTTCATCAAGGAATAATATTTCGACCAGCATTTCATAGGAATGAGGCAGTAAGTTTCTCTGAAATGTTTCTAGTATTTTTATTCTTTGACTGGGAAAGCTAGCTCAAGTGGTAACGCTTGTTGTAACGCGCCACTTGTATTCTGGAGGTGCCAAATTTTAATCTTGTACAGAACAATGACTATCCTGACCAAAATCTTTCACCCTTTTCCTCAGTCCCTCCATGCAAATTCAACAACAGTACCTTAAATTAAATCAAGACACATCTCTTCCAACTCAATATTCACTACCATTCAATCACCTGATGCCAGAGAATCTGTTACTTACTGCATCAGCAAATAAACTACAAATAACAAATATCAAAATAAGACATGATGCTACATCCAGAAAATGACAATGACTCAGAACTGTTTTTAACTAGATTAACCCACAAACATTCACAAATTAGAAGGTAAAACAAAACAGACTCCATGGCTTGAGTCTGCAAGCGAACTATACTGACTGAGCTGCTTGACCGGAGCCGATATTTCCCTGAAAAAGCTCCTCAACAATCCTCACAAGGCTAAGGGGACCCCGTTCCAGACCCACTACTTTTCAGAAAATCTGGTATTGCCAGAAATCAAACCAGGACCTCTGGATACCTAGGCAGGAACTCTGACCACTAGACCACAGAGGTGGTCAAATTAGAAGGTAAACCATCTTAAGTATACCTGTATTTGATTTACTGTGTAGTTACATTTAAAGTCTGGTAAGTAAATATTCCTTTATTACATCTAACAATTCCAATTTTGTTTTCAATCCGGATATACTTGTGTGGTAATATTTTATGTCAGCTTCCTAATACATATGCTACCAAATATACTGCATGAAGTGAACACGCTGAGGTCTGAAGCTTTCATGGTGGTGAAAATATACTCTGAAAATGGAGAAATATGTTTCTCCGAAATACTGAACTCCATGATACTACATACTATCATAACCCACAAAACAACTTTCTGAATTTTCACCATCATGAAAACCTCAAATCCTACACGTGTAACCTCCATGGGGGTCAACAATACACAGAATTCATCAATTGGAAAACCTTGGAGTCAAAAGAATAAGTTCTTCAAGTTCCTTGTCTTTCTTACTGAGGTACAGGGACCAGATAAAAAGTCCAAAGTTCTCACAAATTAAATACATCAGATCTGAAGATGGAGGCAATTGGTGACACTTGATTAAGATTCCATACAGGCTTAAGCTATGATATAAGTGATGTCCCTAAAATAATTACTATCAATGAAGTATTCTGAAGAATGATTAACCTTTATCGGACGGGCCATTTAATTTCCGGTAGGGGCAGCTGGACGGAGTTTATTTAAATGCCCGCCCTTCTAGAGCAATGAAATTGTAAGCATGTTTCTAAAAATGGTGTGATTTCTACATTTTTTATGATAAACGAACGAAATGAACGCTCCTTTAATGTAGAAAGAATATAGAATCAGATATTCTAATTTACAGATTTTAATATCTGTAAAAAATTTTTACACTGATTCCCAAAATAAAATTTCCCGAAATTCATACATTTTCTGCACCATGCGTTCTAGCAGTGTAATACATTTTCTGCACCATGCGTTTTAGCAGTGTAAGTCCTTGTGGCGACTTCACATTCAATGGTATCTCTTGTTGTAGCTTATTTATCGTATGGGACATGTC